CTCATTTTGTAAACAAAGACCATTGTTCCCATTCCTTCTTTAGGACAACATATAGCTCCAATTTTTACTTTTAAGTTCCCAGTTACAAGGGTGATGTCTTTGCTTGGTGTTTTGAATGAGTGTCTCTTCAAACCATGTGGAGAACTTATGAATTGCGTCATCAGCTGCTGCTGCTGGGTCATAAACCTGTATGATCGACATATTAACTGGCTTAGTTCAAAGGCGAATTATAATGAGTCAGTTGTTTGATGGGTTGTATCGAAGCACACACTTGGATGTCTCCTTGGATAAGATAAATATAATTCCATTTTCTGTTACTCTTCAGGATCCAAGAAAGCATGTGAAATGACCTCTACCATTTATCATCCTGAAATGACCTCTACCATTCCATCATAGCTTTGAGGTTCCACATACAGCTATCGTACATCTTTCCATTTCTTTGGTCACAATAGTAATCCTCCATTTATATATACTTTACTCTGATGATTAGTTTATGAAAGTTCAGGTCATTCTTTACCTTGGAGCAAATATCAGGCACTATTTCCTGAAGGATTTGGTATACCACCATAACTGCAAGCAGTACTCTTTTATATGGTCAGAACCTCTTTCCCACTGTAATTTATCATGCCGTCTGGACCTGTGTATGCGGGGGGTGGGGGGGGAGGGAGAGGGGTGTTCCTCACCATCCAGCACCACACATGGATCATGTTACCTTTGTTCTCCCATGATAGTTCTTGTGAGAGAAAATATAAAAGGTGGTTTGCAATTGCCTTACCACAGGTTTGTGGCTGCACTGGTTAAGTCGTAATTGAATACTTCTGCCTTTAGATGGCATTTCCTCCATCAGCTGTTGCACTACACTCCCAACGTGTTTGTCCATCCAAAGCCATTGGTGCTTCCTGAGACTTTGGCCAGACACAGATGGTACCATCTATTGCCATTATGATAGCAGGCTACAATACAGCCTGACCTGACCAGGCATTGTGGATAATATTAATTTGTGACTGCAGGATTTTTCCCTATTACATATTTTCTATTACTCTGAGAAGTCTAGCTTTTAAATGACTACTAATTAGACATTTCCTAATAAATATCTCAGTTATGTCTAGGACTCTTTTTGGGGGGAATATTGAGCCTAAATTTTCTTTTACCCAGTTTAATCTAATTACTCCTAATTTGTACCTCTTTGTCTCTCCTGAACAATTTTTCTCCCTCACCAGCATTGAAACTCTTCAGATATTACTAAATTCTCTCTCCACTATCTTAATTGTCTACTGGTCAAATTAAAATCTGTCTCGTGATTTTTTTTTTATAAAGGAAAATTGTTAACACCCTGTCCCTGATACTGTGCCTCTACTCTTTTGGGGGAGGTGGGAGGAGAGGTTCAGTCATAATATCAAATTGCCAGTCCATATCTAATCTGTGGTCCCGCTGTTCTTTATATGTATGCATTTTTTTGACATTACTGGTGTCCCAATATTTCCCCTTTTTTTGAATATCTGTAGTTTTACATTATTTTTCCTGAACGGCACCAATTTGAGTCTAATTTTATTTTATACCCAGATTCCTAACGTCTATACAGTGTATAGATTATTTGTGTCCTCACCCACATTTGCAGTATCATCTGGTTTACCGTAGTATAAACTCTGCATCTGACTAGAGCTCAGCTTCACTTCCATACATCTATGCTTCTCTTTTGTGCTAGCTGCAGAGTGACTCTAGAATAATAATTCCATCTGTCATAGATCCTGGCCCTGCCCTTAAAGCCACTGCTGTGATACACATGTCAGCACTGTCTAAAGTCCATTTGGTGGTATTCTGCAAGCATGCTCTTCAAATACCATTGAACCTCTTTTCTCAGCAGTTCAGGGTCAGGCTATTTTGATACACACTACGTGACACTATGAATGAATGGCTAACTATAAATCAGTTGCAGATAAATATATTACAAAGCTTTTAATTTTTCCGAGCTTTCCTGGAATCTTTACATATTTATTTAGTATCTTTACTGAACTGATGAGTTTGTCAGACATTCTGTATGTAAAGAGTGAAAAATAAACATCATGATTTGATTTTTAGGCCGTTACATGTAGCCTAGACTTCACGTATTAGGTTGCCTTCTCAAATAAAAAAAGGGACTTAACTTGTTACAAATATCATATTTATTTTATGTAACTCTTTGCAATAATAAATCACGGTATATTTTATTGTTTCTTTACAAAACTTTCCGTAATTTTATTGCTGAAAGTAAAAGCTGTCTCTAGTTATGTCCCTCCAAACAAATTGATATACTCTTTGAACAAAAAAAGAGCCTGTGAAAAGAAAGTCAGTTGATCATACCTTTTAAAGGAAAATATTATAATATGTGAATTACCGTGGCTTCTGAAACTTATTATATTAAAAGAAGTAATACAGAATCATTGTGTCATCCCAAGTTACATTTCAAATTTTATTTTATTTTTTTCAGGTGCTATATTAGCATTTATGTTGGGGTTGTTTCATATCCCTCTGGATGAATGTGAGGAACTGTATCACAAATTAGGATCAGATGTGTTTAAGCAGAATGTTATTGTTGGGACAATGAAAATGGGCTGGAGCCATGCATTTTATGACAGTGATATCTGGGAAAAGATGCTCAAGTAAGTTAAAATGGACTTTAAATCATTTTTGAAAATATGTGGTCTTGTTGCTGCTTTAATTGTAAGCAAAAGTTTAAAAACACAGCTCTAAAAGGGTAGATACATTATACCAATATCTTTCGAAATAGTTGATTGTTTCCATTTAGCCCAAGTATCTGAAAGCATTTAATGCAATCATTCTTCTGTTTCCAGGGAATAAAATGAGCTGTGATATACAGCTTTCTGATTTTATGCCCATATACTTTCCAACTTTGCTCATTCTGTCTCATTACGTGTCTGCTACAAATATTGCTGGCCACATGCTGTGAATTTTCCCTAAGGAAAAGTGCTAAAAGTGAAATAATAGGCTGTGTCAAGCACCCCGCCCCCCATTTTAAATGCTACATTATGTATCTTCCTACCCACTGCCTTTTTCTTTGAAAAGGAAAAAATCCACTAAAACATACTGTGATGAAAAGATGTACCTGCTGCTGTGTAAAATCTGTCTATAAAGTGAGGAGCAGTTGGTTTTCTGTGTGTGTAATAACAAATAACAGATAACAAGTTAGGAAATCATTTGTTGAAGAAATGCATTTAGTGTTTTTATATATTGATGTCAGGATCATTTAAATAAAAATTTAATTTTTATTAAATTGCTTCATATTCATATTTAAAATAGTTTTAGTATTCATAATTCATTGTATATTTAGAGTGGCTTGCTTTTTGGAAATAGTAAAGTTAAGAAAACCTATATCAACATTATGGAGGAAAGTTGTTTAAATTTTAAACTTTTGGGCTCTTAATGAGAGACAAATAACATTGATTATCTATCAAACAATAATGGCAAGCTTCCATATGTAGACTTGCCAATACATTTTAATCCTGATTTTTCAATACCTGTTCTGTTTTGTTCCTTGTCTCTTTTGAGCAGCTTTTATGTCAGCATCTGAGGTTGGTTATTACAATATTATCTTCCAGTATTTACTGGTGAAAGCACTGAGTATTTGTTTAGAGGACATTTTAAAGCTGAGATGGACTAGACCTCCCTATTCATTACCAGAAAGGATCACATTCACCAGCTGCTAACTCTCTCTCCCGTGATGATAACATTTCCTTGTAGAAAACTCAGCATTGTGTCTGTGTTAAGACAGTTGAGTATTTGTGAGTCAAGTTTCTCTCAAGCAGGCATCTGTAGATGGTAGGGTATACACAAGGTTGGCTGACACATTTGCTTGTCTCAAAAAATTGATGCTCTGGACCGTATCTGCACTACCAAATAGTATCTACTGACTGCAAGTTTGCAACTGTACATAAAGTAGAAGCAACTTGCTATCCAAACTCAGTAGTATAATGGAGAATTTGCCATGTCTTGCTATTCTGGGAAGTCTGTCTTCCCCACTGTTGCTTTGAAGGTCGCATCTATTAGTAGAAGATTATACCTGAATTGCCTCAGTATCTGGAAAATGATCGGGGACATAGTTTAATCCTTGAAAACAAATGCTGTTTTAACTCCACATTCAATATTTTAAAGAGATGAAAATGTGGAGCAAACATTTTACAATAACTTCTTTCTTCCCCAGCCTTGCCTGAAGTGAAAAATATATGCATCTTCAGGGTTGGCCTTGAATTGGCATAAGATGCCTATTCGGAGTGACGAAGTGTTACAGGTCCAGTCTCTCACCAGCTTATGATTTTCTGTGGCTTTAGTGGTCCAACTCCTGCATATTTTCAGGTTTAGTCAATATGGAGTCAAGTGACTTTAATCACCTTGGGCTGGGGTATAGGATCACTGCAGCAGCTTTACCCAGGTGGCACATTCTGCATGGAAAGATATCACTAAGAGCTCTTATTTAAGCGATTGCCCATGTGCATTCCACTCTTAGTGTAGGCCCTGGTCTACATTACGAGTTTAGGTCAAATTTAGCAGCATTAGATCGATTTAACCCTGCACCCTTCCACACAACGAAGCCATTTTTGTTAACTTAATGGGCTCTTAAAATCAATATCTGTACTCCTCCCTGACAAGGGGATTAGCGCTGAAATTGACATCGCCGGGTCGAATTTGGGTTAAGTGTGGACACAATTCGACGGTATTGGCCTCCAGGAGCTATCCCACAGTACTCCATGGTGACCGCTCTGGACAGCACTCTCAACTCAGATGCACTGGCCAGGTAGACAGGAAAAGCCCCACAAACTTTTGAATTTCATTTCCTGTTTGGCAATCAGCAGAGGTGACCATGGAGTTTCAGAATCGCAAAAGAGTTCCAGCATGGACCAAACGGGACGTACTGGATCTGAACACTGTATGGGGAGACGAATCTGTGCTATCAGAACTCCGTTCCAAAAGATGAAATGCCAAAATATTTGAAAAAATCTCCAAGGGCATGAAAGACAGAGGCTATCACAGGGACCCGCAGCAGTGCTGCATGAAACTTAAGGAGCTTAGGCAAGCTACCAAAAAACCCAAGAGGCAAACGCCTGCTCGGGGTCAGAGCCCCAGACATGCCACCTCTATGATGAGCTTCATGCAATTCTAGGGCGTGCCCCTACCACTGCCCCACCCCTGTACATGGACTCCTGTAAGGGGGGAGTCTCACGCAATAGGGATGAGGATTTTGGGGATGAGGAAGATAGCGCACACCAGGCAAGCGGAGAAACCGTTCTCCACTACAGCCAGGAACTGTCACCCTGGATCCAATACCCTCCCAACCCGGGCTCCTGGACCTTGAAGGTTGGAGAAGGCAGCTCTGGTGAGTGTACCTTTCTAAATATCATACATGGTTTAAAAGCAAGCGTGTTTAATGATTAATTTGCCCAGAAGATTTGGGATGCATTCGTGGCCAGTACAGCTACTGGAAAATTCTGTTAACGTGTCTGGGGATGGGGCGGAAATCCTCCAGGGACATCTCAATGAAGCTGTCCTGGAGGTACTCCCAAAGCCCTTGCAAAAGGTTTCTGGGGAGGGCAGCCTTATTGCATCCTCCATAGTAGGACACTTTACCATGGCAGGCCAGTAGCACGTAGTCTGGAATCATTGCATAAGAAAGCATTGCAGCGTGTGGTCCTGGTGTTTGCTGGCATTCAAGCAACATCCGTTCTTTATCTCTCTGTGTTATCCTCAGGAGAGTGATATCATTCATGGTCACCTGCTTGAAATAGGGGAATTTTATTAAGGGGACATCAGAAGTGGCCGTTCCTGCTGGTCTGTTTGCCTGTGGCTAAAAAGAAATCATCCCTGCTGTTCGCAACATGGTGGGAGAAGGGGTGAAGTGATTATCCCAGAGAATTTGCGGGGGGGAGAGGCAGTTAGTTGGGTTTGTGCTGCACGTTAACCTGAAAACATCAGCCCCTCCCTTTAAATGGCCAATGTGTCTTTTTCAATTTTAATCTCCCTTTTTTTCCTCCCACAGCTGCAAATGTTTCAACGCTGCGACTAGCATCTCCTTCCCAGAGGCTAGTGCAGATAAGAAGGCAAAAAAACCGCGCTCACGATGAAATGTTCTCTGAGCTCATGCAGTCCACCCAAACTGAAAGAACCCAGCAGAATGCTTGGAGGCAGACAATAGCAGAGTCCAGGAAACCACAAAATGAACACAAGGACAGGAGGCTAGAGCAACAGGAGAGGTGGCAGCAGCGTGATAAAAGGAGGCAGGATGCAATGCTGAGACTACTGGAGGATAAAACTGATATGCTCCGGCGTAAGGTTAAGGTGCAGGAAAGGCGCAGACCGCCACTGCGGCCCCTATGTAACAAACCGCTCTCCTCCCCAAGTTCCATAGCCTCCTCACCCAGACGCCCAAGAACGTCGGGGGGAAGCACTCCGGGCACCCATCCACTCCACCCCAGAGGACTGCCCAAGCAACAGAAGGCTGACATTCAATAAGTTTTGAAGTGCAGTGTGGCCTTGTCCTTTCCTCCTCCACCACCTCACCTGGTGCTTCCATCCTCCCCTACCCCTCCCAGGCTACCTTGGCAGTTATCCCCTTATTTGTGTGATGAATTAATAAAGAATGCATGAATGTGAAGCAACAATGACTTTATTGCCTCTGCAAGCAGTGATCGAAGGGAGGAGGGGAGGGTGGTTAGCTTATAGGGAACCAAAGAGTCTCACTGCTGCATTCGTCAGTCGAGCAAAAACTCGACTATCTGCTGCACCTGAAATAGTACAAACTTAGCAGTTTTCCTCTATCAGTGTTTACCTGGCAGCAATATCAGCTTTCTGCCCTCACATGGATAACTGTTCTGTTTTTAATAACAAAATTACAATTAGATTCCTTAAAGGCCTGGAAAAATTTTACCCTCAACTAAAGGAGCCCATTTCCCCTTGGTACTTGAACTTAGTTTTGTCTAAACTTATGGGATCCTCTAGCAATGTGCTTCTTATCATACCTTTCCTGGAATGTGGTTATCCTAATTGCTATCACTTCTGCCAGATGGGTCTCCAAACTGCACATCATCACACATCCAAACCACTGTACAGTCTTCTTTAAAGATAAGATGTATTTACACCCTCATTTGAGGTTTCTCTTTAAGGTAGTTTCAGATTTTCATATCAATCAATACATTTACTTGCCTGTATTTTACCCCAAACCATATGCAAATAGGGTTGAGCAATGGCTGTGCATACTGGATGTTAAACCAGCACTATTGTTCTACATAAACCAAACTGTTTTGGCAGTCCACCCAACTGTTCATGGTCATAGCAGACAGAAAGAAAGGTCTCCACACAGAGGATTTAATCTTGGATAACTTCTTGTATCCTTTTGTGTTATGATCTTGCAGGTGTCTCTCCTCCAGGCAAGCTGACTGACCACTTTACAAGATCGCAAATATCCTCCAGGGGATCCCTAGCACAGATCCCTATCCATTTGCAAAGCAGCAACCTGGTCATCTGTGCACACTTTCTTCTCCCATTATGCCACCATTTGGTATTCAAGAAATGATGCCAAATTTGCTTGAACTATAGTGCAGTCTTTGTGTACATGAACTCCAGTCCCTCCACTTGTTTAACTGTTCGGGAGTCACCAAGAGTGGAATGAACATGTGCAATCACTCAAAGAAGAAAAAACAGTTACAACAGACCCTCTCTAGAGCGCACATTGCTATAGCGCGGATTTGCATATAGCGCGGTCACGGTGATGGATCCCAAATTTAAATGTTTAAAGTGGGATCCATGGTAAAGCGGTCCCCACGTTAACACGATACCGCGCATGGATCCCGAACCCCACGTTCTAGCGAGGGTCCAGTGTATTAACCTTTTGTAACTTGTTCTTCAAGATGTGTTGCACATGCCCCCATTCCACAAACTGACCTCCTACCCCTCTGCATCAGAGTTTCCAGAAGGAAGGAACTGAGGAGACTGGGGGTCAACTGGACCCTTTGTGCCAATGCCGGCAGCAGAGGTGCTCAAGCCACCCTGATGGGTGCCACTGAAGGAGAAGTTTCTGGTGACTGTCCGTGAGGCACACACGCGCTAATAGTGGAATGGACATGTGCAGCGCATCTCAAAGAACAACGGTTACAGAAAGTTAGTAATCAACCATCTTAAGCAAAATTGAGATAGGGAATCATTCTACTGAAATAGCTAATGAGGGATCTTAATGTAAGAGTCTAACTTCTGATATTGTCAAAGTAACTGAAATACTATATGGGAGTAAACACAGTTAAAAAGCATAATGTAGAAAAGTGTTTCACTGTTGAAGTAGAAGAGGAAAACATGGAGTTGGATAATCCTTCAAGTGAGACACGTTCAGCATCACCATTATCCTCAAAACATAGCCGTGATGATATCTTCAGTCATTATTTCAGGCCTCTCAGTAGCTTTTCAGCTTCATTCAGGAGTTCTATTTGTCTTTGACATCCTGAAAATGGTGGACACCAATCTTTGAATATACTATAATATCATAGTGTAAAGGCAAAGAGAGGTACTCGATTAAAAAAAAGTTTTGTCCTCCTTTTATGCCATCCACACCTACAGTGTATGACAATTTAATAATTGGAGCTCTTTGTCTTGGATATTCTCCAGACAGCTTTAAATTCTCAGGTCCACTATGACGTCTGAAAATGAAGAAACACAATATTAAAAAACAAAACAAAAATCCAATGTAAAATGGTTGAATACGAAGAATGATCCGATAATGGTGACAAGCACCCATTCAGGAAAAATGCATTCCTATTTAGTTATAGTTTCCCTTTCTGAAAGGAAAACCACAGACCTATTGTGTCCAGATGTCTGAAGATGCTATCCAAGAATGCAGAGAAAGGAGTAAGACTTGGAGATCTTTGCCATTTGGTCAGGCAACAAAAAAGAGAAAGATGAGAACTTTCTCATGTGCAGTTATCTGATACATTTGTCCAGTCCTATTTAAACCCCATTTATAAAGAAGCAGCATCTAACACAGTCCAGTGCACGTTTTTAAATTTCAAAAATTCTTTCACATCCACCTTTAGTGTTAGATGGTTGAAAAAGAAGGATTGACCTTCAGCTTCCCAATTATGCTCAACAGAATCTTCTCAGGAAAATTCTCACATTTAGGGCAAATGGGTGCAGACCCCTTGGGCTGGTGTAAGTCAAAACCAACTTGTCTGGAAATGCTACACACACACACTTTTATGAAAATGAAAATTTACTGCAGCTACAAAGAACGCAGGAGGAAGGCAGTGTATTGATTAAGCACTCTAGTACTGTACGCTTTTTGTGATGTGGATAGTGGCAAGGCAATTACTGTCATCTTCATAAAAAGAAAAGGAGTACTTGTGGCACCTTAGAGACTAACCAATTTATTTGAGCATGAGCTTTCATGAGCTACAGCTCACTTCATGAAAGCTCATGCTCAAATAAATTGGTTAGTCTCTAAGGTGCCACAAGTACTCCTTTCCTTTTTGCGAATACAGACTAACACGGCTGTTACTCTGAAACCTGTCATCTTCATGTTACACATTTTGTCTACAAATTAAACTGAAAATTAAAATCCATGAATATTAATATAACTGTTGACCTGATCCTACAATGAGATTTTGGAGGGATCAGGGCAGACTCTATGCCCGCACAGTGTTCCACTGAATTCAGTGGGGTTCCACACAGGTCATGATCTAGCAGCTGGGCCTTAAAATGTATACTAAAAAAATATTCATGTTGGATGGCATTTCTCTAAACGCTTCAGTAAGAAAATTCGATTAAGCTCACTTCCAGTCATTGCAGAATATACAAGGCAGTTTAACTTTACATGCCTTGTTGTGCTAACTTGTTCTGTTTAAAATACACAGTCTTCCTTGCTTCAACGTAGGGTTTCCAATATAAAATTTGCCCTAGTATATATTAATAAAAAACACTTTTTGACAGAACAATTCTAATAACCGTAGTAAAGCTAATGTTTTCCCTACGATTGTGGGGCATGTGGTATAAAGCCTACTTGGGAAATTACAACTAATTTTGGTGAACAATAGCTTTTTGCTGTAAGTAATGCAGAGAATTTGCTTCAGTATTAATCTTATGCATATTTCTTTGCATTTTAATTTTAATTGAGCAACCTGTTTTGCTTTTCATTTAATTTGATGGCTTCCTATTATAGCATCATTAAGATCATTACATTTATGACATGTAGTTACTTTTACTATTCATTTCCATTTTCTTCCTGCAGAAAGCAAAAGTGACCTTACTTTTTTTATGTAAATCAATTTACATAATACCATATTGAGTTTAATATGCAAGAAAAAATAGGGGTATAGTTTTGTTCCATATTGTTGGATTTTGTATTGAATTGAGTTTGAATGTGTGTTTTTGTTTTGTTTTTGTCCTTGAATAGTGTGTACTATATGCAGAAGACTTATCTGGGAGGGAGCAGCAGAGGGGGTTTGACAAACTAGCCAAAATATTGGTACATTGAGGGGAACTGATTTGTATATGACAGTGGTTCTCAACCTATGTACCATTTTGGGCCACATCCCATACTCTGACAAATGAAACTGAGTGTTGATAAATGCAAAGTAACGCATATTGCAAGGGAAAATGTAACTGCTTCTACACCTTGCAGGTTTCTAATTAACTTTATTACCTCAGAAAAGGGACCTGGTGTCGTTGTGGACAACTCAGGGAAGAAGATCTGTGCACAAAAAAAGCAAACAGGATGTTTGGATGCATAAGAAATAGGATGGATAATAATACAGAAAATATTATGATGCCATTATATGAATCAGTGGTGCAGCCCTAGTGACGAAACTGTATGCAGTACAAGTCACCTCATTTCAGAAATGATAGAAGAGTTAGAGGAGGCTTAGAAAAGGGTGACCTATTATTTATGTCATGGAAAAACTCTTAAAGGAAGAGAGATTGAAAAGATTGGATTTGTTTCCTTTTGAAAGGAGACGAATGAGAGGGGGCATGACAAAAGTATGTAAAATAATGAATAGTATAGAGGAGGTAACCCAAAAACACGAGGATACTCAATTAAATTAAAAGATGGACTAATTCAAAACTAGTAACAGACAATGACTTGTACCATTGGATGAAAATTAGACTGTGGAACTCATTGCCATGGGATGTTGTTGAGGCCATATGCTTAATAAGATTCAAAAATGAATTGGACACTTACGTGAATGTTAAGAATATCAAGAGTTATAATAAATAATGCTAACAAATTTGTAGTGGATGCTGGTGCAACAGTAAACTTTCTCTGCCTGAGTTGGTCTTGAAAAATTACCCAACGTCTACTTTTCCCAAGGGCAGTTCCCTATCTTGAGCCTCGCCCAAGCCATGCACCCCTTTTACTTGGTCTTCCACCAGTCCTCTACTTGGATCCGCACAATCTAGTCCCTATAAACAAATCAATGAATGCCAGCCCCCCATAAACAGTCACCTCCCCCGCTCTACCGGCCATGGCCAACACAAGCACTCTCCTTTAAGCATTGCAGTCTCTACAGGTTAGCAGTTGGTACGCTCCAGCCCTTGAGCATTTTCCTGGAGTGTCCAGTTCCTGGTCCACTGGACACTCAGGGTATTCAGATCTGCTGCTTCCAAAAGATAGTA